GGGCGAGCCAGGCCGAGGAGGCTGCTCTTGCCAATGCCGAAGTGTGCCAGGGGCTGGCGTGCAGCAGCCTGCTGAGGCTGGCGTGGGAACAGGCTTAGCCTGTTCCCGAAACCCTGGTTCGGTGCCTGAGTTTCAGGGCCGGTCGTTCTGATGAACGACCGAAAATGGCCCTTCGTTTCAGGCTAAAAAGGCTGTTGCCATTTTTAGTCTGAAACGACACTGGGATAGGCCCTGGAATTCAGGCTTTCGGGCTGAACCGACATGGGGCCTGTAAGCCCTGGACTTCAGGCTTTCGGCCTGAAATTCAGGCCGCCTGAAATTCAGGCTTTCGGCCTGAAGTTCAGGCTTTCGCCCTGAAGGACGCAGGCCTGGAAAATGGCCTGCGTGTGCAGGCGCTGCATGTAACACTATCTCTCCAACGCTACTTCAGCTCCTAATAGCGCCTAGCGCTGAGACTACTGCTAACGCTACTACTTCTACTGCAACGCTCCTCTAGAGTGCTGCTGCCGAATCCTGAAGACTGCCTCCTGCCTCCTGCTCGTGAAGTGCATGGTAAGTCCCTATGAACTACCTGCCTAAATGCCTGGCGGACCGGTCCGTTATAGTGCTGGTCCGGCTAGGAGGCTGCTCTTGCCCATGTTGAATAGTGCCAGACCCTGGCGCTGAAAAATGGTTGTCTTGAAACGGCCCTAAGAATGGCCTGCGCTTATCCCTGGTCTGGCACCTAAGTTTCAGGGGAGGTCGACTTGATGAGGGCCTAAAAGTGGCCTGCGCTTATCCCTGGTCTGACACTAAGTTTCAGGGGAGGTCGACTTGATGAGGGCCTAAGATTTGGCCCTCCTTTTCAGGCTAAAAAGACTCGGGGCCTGGAGGGGCCTTTTTAGGCTGAAACGTCACAGGGCCTGGAGGGCCCTTACTTTTGCCTGGTCGGGTCCTGCAGGGCCTGTGTGGCGCGTAGCATGCCACACATTCATTCCATGAGCAAAACTCAGAAATCAGCTGTGAGAAGTCAGGTGGTGAGAGGGGAAGAAGAGATGGTGGAAATAGAGGAGGAAGAAGAAGAACTCTCTCTCTCTCTCTGTGTCCAGTACTAACCTGTGAAGTTGGCGCCTTGATGCAGGTACCTCGAAGACGGAGCTGGAGCTATGGCGCCACAGGTAAGTACCGCTGGCCTCCGCCAGCCATCTCCCTCCACTGCAACTACTACCACCTACTAGTGCCTAGCGCTGAAGACTACCTCTACAGCTATGGGCGCCCAGCGCCGAAGACTACAGCTAACGCTGAAGACTACTGCCTAGCGCTGAAGACTACTGCAGCGCTTGGGGAACAGGCTATTTCTGGCCTGTTCCGAAACCCTGTTTTCGTGCCTGAGTCTTAGCTAGGTCGATCACAATGAGAGCCTGAAAATGGCCGTCCGTTTCAGGCTGAAAAGCCTCTGGGCCTGAAAGGCCCAGAAATGGGCTGAAACGGAATAGGGCCTGCAGCAGCTTTCAGGCTGAAACGACCGGCGCCTGTAAGCCCTAAGTTTTAGACTTTTAGGCTGAAAATGCGGGACGGGCCCTGCAGGGCCCGTGTGGCTACGCAGTATGCCACAGGACCAGTCTCTGCGCCTCTGCTCCGGTCTGTCCCCTTCCCCTACGAACATCAGCAGTCTCTGCTTAATGCCGATTAGGGGGGCCAACGACCTACCTCTCGCCGGCGGATTCCAATTCTTCCCAGGAAGGTACATGAGGTGAATGGGGATTGAACCCATGACCTCGTCAATGCCACTTGTGTGCCTTCCTAACTCAACGAGGCCGCTAAACTTTGTTTTTTTCTTTTCAGGGGCATTCGTTTTTCCCCCTTTCTTTTTCTGTCTGGGAAGCAGTTGTGCGCATCACAATGGAGATGGTGAGAGAGTGCTCAGGCCAGCACTTTTCCTGCATTGTATATGGGTGCTTTTATGCCTCCCAGCGGTTGCATTCGACTGCAATCTCAAGAGCCGAAGAAGTTTGAGTGTGAGGTCCAGTGTGGATGCGCTCGGTAGAGAATTGCAGTCAGATGAATCCGGATGAGGGGTGTAATTGCGCCTAGATATAATGTCTTCTAGCAAAATCGCCATCCACCTGTTGGAACCCCCCCCTCTCCTACACCCACCTTGAAGGATGCATCTGACCGCCATCACTTCCAGAGCTAAGTCAAAAGAGCTTCTGTGTGAGTGTGCTCTGCATTGATAATTTCGGTCAGATGCATGCAGATTACGGGCGTAATTGCGCCCAAATGCAATGACTTGTATGTAGCAAAATCAGTTAGCCTTTGGACAACAAATTTGGACAACAAAAACAGTGTACACATGTTGAAAAGAAAAGAGAAACAAAAGAATCATTTGCCATACACTCGGTGGGTGCATGCATCTGACTGCGAAGACTGCCAGTTTTGGTGCTACGGATTTCATGCTGTTTCCTCTATGGGGGGGGATGGGGAGGAGAGACTAGTTGGGAGGGGACTAGCAGGATTGGGTCGCTGATCTCAACTGGCTGGGTTGAATGACCCCAGGCTGACATTGTGGGTGTGGTCTACCTTTCCTCCCCTCCTTGTGAGGATGGCCCAACAAGAGCCCTTGCTGCTGTCTGTGGTCTGTTATCACAAGGACATGGTTAACCGGGGGCTGAAAATTTGCTGTTCTCGTCGACAGTTTCGGTGTACATCAAAAAAACAAACAGGCCAAAGAAAACGGAAAAAAGAACACAAAAACAATAAAAAACCCTAACACAAAAACACCTTTGAGTGAAAATGAAGTGAAGTGTCCAACGAATCCACCGAAATGCCAACTTTTTCATTAGTGATCCAAAAATGTCAGAACTGGACAAAGTTCCCAATTTTAAGAGAATTCCCGCTAAGATAACAGATTAAGCAGTGGGTGCTTCTACATGAGCTTCAGGTAACACATGACATACCCTGAAGCACCTACATATCACACAAAAAGAAAAAGAAAAAAAATCAGGGCAGTACGGCAGTTTCAGTGCAAAATTCGACGGATAAAACACCCCCGGTTAACCACGTGTGAGCTTTGATCTGTTGTGATCCGTTTTTTCCATTGAAGCCACTAGTACTTTTGACCCTTCCCTTGCCGGGCCTGGAATGCCCTGCGATTAAAAAAAGTACGAGCCAACACAGGCCTTCTCTTGGTTGGCGCTGCTAGCCATCGTGATCTAGTAGGCCGACCCCTGAAACTTGCAACACGAGCCCTTAAACTTGCTACACGAGGATGGCCGTGCGAGAAATAAAAAAAAGAAAGAAATCACGTGAAATAGACGGGCAGGGAGGAGGGGGGGGAGAGATAGATAGATAGAGAGAGAGGAGAGAGTGTGTGTGTGTGTGTGAGAGAGAGAAGAGGAGAGTGTGTGTGTGTGTGTGCGTGCGTGAGAGAGAGAGAAAGAGAGAGAGAGAGAGAGAGATTTTTTCTGCACGTAGCGCCCCGTGCAGTTCGCAGGGTCTCTCGCTCTCCCCGCCCCCCACAAAGAGCATGAATTTGACGTGAATAACACGGAAGATTCATTCTCTTTGTGCACAAATGGTACTGCAAATGGGAATGTATCTTCCGCATTATTCGTGAAAGAATCGTTGTTTATTTGTGGTACATTTGCAGTATGTGTGTGTGTGCGCGCGCGCGCGCGTGCAAGAGAGAGAGAGAGAGAGAGAGAGAGAGAGAGAGAGAGAGAGAGAGAGAGAGAGAGAGAGAGAGAGAGAGAGAGAGNGAGAGAGAGAGAGAGAGAGAGAGAGAGAGAGAGAGAGAGAGAGAGAGAGAGAGAGAGAGAGAGAGAGAGAGAGAGAGAGAGAGAGAGATCCCTCGCGCACTGTGCGCAGGGCCCTGGGCATAACGCCCCGGGCCTCTCTCTCTCTCTGTCAAACGGGAATGTATCTTCGCTTAGCAACTGTTGCATACTCGTGAAGACTTCAACGAGTATGGGGCAGAACCAAAGATCAACCAATTTAGGATGAGCATGTATGCAGCAGAAGTCTGACAATGGACTGACTCACATAGACTGACTCACACAGATATCACTCCACACACAAACAATCGTGAGATGGTGGGGTCTGGGCCAAGCATAGACGATGCCCAGATCCCGTACACGCATTCACAAATGAGAGGTGGGAGGAGAGACGAAGGAGGTGGGAGATGTAGGTAGCACCAGATGTCACCGAGATAGAAAACCAGTAGGTCACCGATATGGTAATTCAAAATGTCATCGAACAAGATCAAATGTCGCGGACAATAAGTCACCAATGTCGGAGATACTGAGTCCTAATGTAACCGGTGTCCAATCTGTGATGCAGCCGAGTATCATCCCCAACAATCTCCAAGTCTCGAACCCGGTAAGTACCACAGCCTCTTACCACCGAAGGCCAACACTGATCTCTGTTCAACTAGTATCAAGTATCAAGTATCCAGTCTGAAGAAGAAGAAGATGAAGTCTGAAGAAGAAGAAGAAGAAGAAGAAGAAGAAGAAGAAGGAGGAAGAGATGGTAGAGGAGGAGGAGATGAGGAGGGGAGAGCTGGTAGCCGTGGAGGGAGGAGAAGATCTCCTCGCCTCCGGGTACCTGCTTCGCTGTAGTCCGACTGCAGGTCGTGGCTATGGCCGCCGTACTGCTGAGGTCTGCTGCCTCGCTCCTGTCTCGCCGCTGCTGCTGCGCTAACTCGCGCTGCTGCCGCTGATGCTGCCTCGCTCCTACGCTAACGCTGCTCTGCTGAACCGAACGACTGGGGCTTCAGCAGCATCCCAGTGCTCGATGCCTCACAATGAGGCTGGTACCGGTATAAGTACCGGTGGCCAAGNTGCTGAACCGAACGACTGGGGCTTCAGCAGCATCCCAGTGCTCGATGCCTCACAATGAGGCTGGTACCGGTATAAGTACCGGTGGCCAAGAGGCCGGCCTCAATGCTGCGAGGCCTGGCTGTGACCTGAACCGTCAAGATCGACGGTTCAGATCAGACCGGCGGGCGGCAGCCTCAAAAGCGCCGCCAGGCCCAAATGGTAATGTTGTTTGGGCCTGCCCGTCGGGTCTGGTCCAAAACTCAAGCCTTTACGGCCTGCTATACCCCAAGTCCGGGCCTTTAGGCCCTGCTGTGTCCCTCTGGCTCTAAGTCGGGTTTGGTAGGACCCGTGTGGCGTTGAAGATGTAACACACTCCCCCTCTTAAAAGACGGAGCTACCTGCGAGGGCGTAGTTGTCTGTCCGATACTGGGGTGGGTCGGGCGGGACGAGCTGCTTCCTTGGCAAGGCGTCGCTTCTCATAGTCGGCGAAGATAAGGGGTGCAGAAGTCTGCAAATCTGCACTAGAGATCCACCGAGTGTCGTCAGGCGCACATTGCTTGAATGTGACTTTGAACTGCATTGGCTTATTGCCATACTTGCAATGCGTGATGACTCGGTCCACTTCCTGATGTCTGTCCATAGAAGGCGGATCCTGTGATCGACGGCCGGGAGACTCGTCGGCGGAAGGTGGCGTGTAGATGGCCAGCTTCAACGTGTGGAAGACCCGGTGCACTGTAAGGTGCGGAGGAAGGTTGACCACAAAGGAAGGACCTGTGGGGTCGTCTCCAACGGCAGAAGTGACTTCCCATGGTCCGAACCATTTCGGAAGGAGTTTGCGTGAAACATCCTGCTCGAGCGCAAATTCCTCGGAGAGGACCCAAACAAGGTCGCCCTCGCGGAAAGGACATGGAAGTCGACGTCGGTTAGCTTGCTGTTGCATGCGGATTTGAGCCTTTTGCATATTCGCACGGGCTTTGATCAGCAAGTCCCAGTACTTCGGAACGGAAGCGGGAGAGCAAGGGACGTCTATGTCGGCGGCCTGTGGCAGAAGGAGATCAGCGAAGATCCGTGCTTTCTCTCCACCATGATGTAGCTCGAATGGTGTGACGCAAATCGCCGGGTGCACCGAAGTGTTGTAGGCGAACTCAATGTCGGGAAGGGGGTCAACCCAATCTTTCTCGTCGGGACGGATGAGCGTACGCAACATTATCTGAGCGGTCTGGTGTGCTCGCTCCGTCTGACCATCCGTCTGCGGGTGTCGAGCCGAGCTCGGCTTCATTGTCATGTCGGACTCAGCCATAAGGGAAGTCCAAAAGGCTGACATGAAGCGAGTATCTCGGTCGCTCACTATGTCTTCCGGAACACCCTGGTTGGTAATCCGACCGGTGTGCAAGAGTCGTGCGAGCTCAGGTGCTGCAGCATGATACTTGCACGGAAGAAAGCGAGCATACTTGCTCAAACGGTCAACGACCGTGAGAATACCGTCATGGCCGTGGCGATCGCGGGGAAACGGGCCTGTCACGTCCGTAGCAATGGAGAGGTGCGGTGCTCGAGGAATCGGCAACCGTTTCAGTTTGCCGAAGGGGACTCGAGATCGACCCTTGTTACGGTGGCAAACTGCACATGACTCAATGTACCTTGTGACGTCATGAAGGACGTCGGGCCAGTGAAAACGCTGGCGGAGGCGTGCTAATGTGTGGTTCACGCCGAGATGTGTCGAAAGCCGTGCGTCATGGAATTCGCCGAGAAGGCGAGTCCGTAAGATGCGGTCTTGGAGCACAACTAACAAGTCCTTTCCTCTCGTGTGAAGGAGAAGGAACCCGTCGAAAATCCGATAATGGCTAGCCGGCGGGTGATCCGATGAAAGCTTTGCGTGAAGCGTGGAGTAAGTCGGATCGGACTTGTACCCTTTGACGAAATGCGGCTGCAGATCCTCATCGAGGTCGAATGCCGTGGTCACAATGGCAAAAGAGTCGGGCCGTCGTGAGAGGGCGTCCGCAGCTCGATTAGCGGGACCGGGAATGTGGCACGGGTCAAAGTCGAATTGGTCAATGTAATACATCCATCGACCGATTGTGCTAGTGACCGTATCCTGCGTTTTGTAAAAGGTCAACGGATTGTTGTCCGTATTCCATTTAAAACGCCGATGACCGAGAAGAAAGTGGCGCCACCGTTTGAGAACGGTGACGAACGCAAGTAACTCTTTCTTCCTAGCGTCGTCTAGAGTGTTGACGAGAGACACCTTTTGGGAGAAACGGCCACTTTCGAGTATGACTCGACAAATTGTTGAGAATATCCAGCCAAACCCATGAAAGAGCGTACATCCGTCGTGCAAGGGGTTCCGGCCAATCCACGATGGCTTGGATCTTGTCCGCTAAGGGACAAATTCCTTTCGGCGTGACATAGTGACCCAAGTACTCAAGCTCCTGCTTGGCGAACTCGCACTTGTCGAGGTTCGCTTTGTACTTGGCCAGACGCAAATGTTCCAAAATAACGCGAAGGTGTACGATATGCTCGTCCAACGTCCTACTATAAACCAAGATGTCATTGAGGTAGATGAGGACGCTGCAATCGAGCACGTCACGAAACTCAGTCGTCATTGCTGCTTGGAAAGTCGCGGGGGCATTGGTGAGGCCAAATGGCATGACAACGCACTGGAAATGCCCGTATCGCGTCTTGAACGCGGTTTTGTACCGATCTTGAGGCTGGATTTCGATCTGGTGGTAACTCGACTTCAAGTCCAACTTCGAGAAGTATGTGGCGCCGCCTAACTGCTCAAGGAGATCATCAATCCGAGGGAGAGGGCCGACGTACTTTACGGTTTGTGCGTTAAGTTTGCGATAATCGATGCATAACCGTAGATCTTTGTTCTTCTTCCAGACGAAGAGAACAGGGGCACCGTAGGGTGAACAACTAGGGCGAATCTAGCCCTCGTCGAGAAGGTCATCGAGTTGTGCGCGAAGCACCTCGAGTTCCTCTTCGCTCATGTGGTAGATACATCCACGCGGAGGGCCGACGCCAGCCTCGAGAGTGATCCCGTGACGTATGGGCCGATCCGGAACCGTTYCGGTGGGAGCCTCGAAGTCGTCTCTATACTCGTCCAAGAGGTGAGAAATGCGTGGGTCCGGCGGTGACGCGGCTGGTCCGTCCGGCGAGGGGAGAGCATGCAAGAATACAAGGCCCATCTCCTCGACGTCATTCCGAGCTATGGCGTCGCGAATTCTCGCAACGGAAACAACGTGACAAGCAATCGAAGTGTGAGGGGTCGCGATCGTACATGGGACTAACACTTCGTTCCGATAACGGATGTGAATGTTCCGGTCGTGGAAGTTCACTGGATGATCGGCACTACGCAACCAAGACATGCCTAGAATCATGTCGAACTTGGTGTCGAGGATGTCAAAAGACACCGGGTCGCACGCAAGTGGCGCAAAGTATACCGGAATGCCGTCGACGCATCGATCAATTTACTTTTGCGTACGGCCGTGCGCGAGTGTAGCTTGTGTGGGTTGCGTCTTCCTTCGAATGCGCAGGCCAAGGCCGACGTGGGCCATAAAGGCTTGGCTCATGAAGTAGCGAGATGCTCCGCAATCAATCAAGGCGCTACAAGTTGCCTTTCCGATTCGAATGCGGATATAGAGCAAAGGCGCGTCGGTTTCGGCGTACCTTTGGGTGGCGTACCCGCGGTCAATCTTCGCAAGATAGGAGCGGAGATCGACAACCGTTACTCGGTCGTTCGTCAATGGAGCTGGTACTGTAGCGTGCAAATAGGAGCGTAGATTTGCCATCAAGGCGTTGCAATGCGGCCTTGGCAAGGTTCGGTTGAGGGTAGAGGGCTCCAAGCGAAGTCCTCTCTCGTGAGCGGGTCAAGCTCCTCAAGTCTTGACCACGCCGTCGAGTCCTCGGAAATCAGTGGCGAGCTGACCGAATCACTTGCCAACGGTGTACAGGTTGCGCATACGCAATCTAAGTGCACGTGGCTCGGTTGGTCTAGTGGTGGTACCAGCTGGGCGGCATAATCCTCATACGTAGCATGAGAATCAGCGACTAACGCATGCTCCCCGGTAGTGACATCGATTGCTAGCAAGGCAACCGGTTCCGGCGGAGTGAGGAGAGATGTCGCCTCTCTCCTTGCGCAACTCAGTTTCCCGAGTTCGCTGGACGGGGTACACGTGCCTTGCCCTTTTCGGGGCATTGTGCTGTCAAGTGAGTGACACCATTGCACCAAAGGCAATATCCGTACCGTTGACGAAGGTCATATACTTCCTTGGTTATCTTGTATGCCGTCCATGGTTGCTGCCCAGTTCCCGCCGATGTCGTCGCGTCAGTCGTCTTGTTCTTCCGAACTCTCTTGGGACGCTTTGGCGGGAGCGCTGCAAGAATTCCTCCATCACCCGAGGATGCTGCTGCAGCGTGGAGATCGACTGATTCATCAGGAATCACGACATTGTTATGTGTCGGTCGTTGATAGCCCTGCTTAGCCACATAGTGCGGCTGGGACTGCTTTTCGTTGGCGGCCTTGTCGTCCATTTGGATGACCTGGTTCGCACGATCCATAATGGCCTGGAATGAGGCGTAATCGTACTCATTGCCGAGTGTGGTTCGCACTCCTGCGCACGATCGCGAGAAGAACTCGGATCATTGGTTTGTAAAGCTCAAATCGAAGCCTGGCGTGGTCACTATCTTTGCCACTTGATTGTCCAGTCTCGAGTTGGCATGCTTCCTTGTGAGCATGTGTAGATCTCGTTCATGGGCCGCCTTCACAACGTTGCGGACCACGAATGGAGTGAACCACAACTGTTCAAACTCCTCCCACGTGAGGTGTTTGTGTAGCTCGACGATAGTGGTCTTCTTGTTGACTGCGAGGTGGTTCATCCACGCTTGTTCACCTCCAATGAGTTGGAGGTATATTGCCTTCATCATGTCTTCGGCAGGGACCTTGTGGCGGGACGCTTCCGTGAGGAAGGCTTGCCACCAGGTCAAAGCGTCGGTCTTGTTGTAGTCCTCGAACTTGCCGATGTTGAAGTGTGGCATCTTGTATACCTTCGCAGCTGCGGCCGGTTGCGACTGCAGCTTGGTGATGTCCGTCTTTATGGCGGCCACCGTGCAGCTGATTGTAGCCGGACTGGTGAAATCACTTAGTTCGCCGATTGAACTGACGACATGGTCGATGTGCTCGTTGAGTTGTTCCGCCGTGTCAGTCGTGCAGCTTGGCGCTGCTGAGGCCTTAGCCTCGATGCTGTTGACGCGTGCGGTGGTGGTGCTCAACAACTGTTGCTGTTGTTGCTGATGTGTGGCGGCAGCGCGAACAGCGACTGTTAAGGCTGCAGCATCTTTCTGCTGAGTATGTCGCAGCTGTCTGCCCTCGTGTATCTGCACAGTTAACATCGTATTGGTCCACATTACCGCCCGCATCACGTTCAACATCAGGTCTGCCAGGTTACTCATTTCTTCCTCCGTCAGTGTCGGATCCGCCTGCGTATCCGCCTGCGTATCCGAAGGCACAAAAAGCATGCCTTGGTGCAGTGTCATCCAGCGACTCTCATTCTGAGACAAGGACTCCATGTTGATGGCGTTCCGTTTGTCTCGCACTATGATGTCAACCTCAGCAGTCCGCTGAGCTTGGGCTGCCACCTCATTGGCCAGCCGATGACGTTCCGCCTCTGCTGCCTCCTGCTGTGCCTTTGCAGTAGCTACGACATCCGTAAATGCCTGTACCCGCTGAAGGTAAGCCGACAACGGCTCACTGGCCCCTTGGACCGGACATGCGGGAACAACCCCGGTGGTAACTGGTTTTGCCGTAGCTGTACTTGATGCCGCTGGAGTCGTCCGCTTGCTGTCGCTGTTGCTGATACTTCGGCCGTGGAGGTACCACAGAACGGTTGCGAACTTGGATCTTGGCACTGCGTCGTGGCAGTGCCCCGGTGTCCTGTTCCGTCGACATCAGCCTGAGCTGATGTGGTACTTGAGAAGTCCCGGTGGTCACTGAGTACGGGGAGGGTAGGGAGGGTGGGTACAGGGGTAGAACAGATCAAACAATTCGCGTATAGTCCATGTCCCAAGGATGGACTTAGACACCTAATCAAACAGAAAAAAAAGATAAACTTCCCCTGGAAAACAACTTAAAAAATCGTAATAAGAAAATAATAACGAATTAATAATCAATGAAGTTTAATTAATGATTAATAACAAATTAATAATTCTTAATGACAATCAATAAAACAATAATGTGATAATGATAGTGAACGAATTTTTAAGTGATGGCAAGATTAGGTATCCGTTGAGATCATCTTCAGTCCGGGAGTTCACCGTTGAATAGTGAACTTCCCGTAAGTTGCGATTTTGGGGAAACACTTTCGAACAATTTGCCAAAAAAAATTCTCGGAAAATTTGGGAGGAAAACACTCGAATTTTCGAAAAATGTAAAATTTTGGGAATTACGACCTGCAAAATCCGATTTTTAAAGGCCTGTGTCCGTTTTCGAAGTTTTTCACACTAGGGAAAGAAAAAAAATTGCTCGAAAATTTTCGAGCCCAACCCTAATTTTCCGCGATTCCGCGGAATTTTCGGTTTTACGGCTCCAAAACAATCAAATTTCCCAACTTGATCAAAATCCGAATTGATCGTAACCCTAAGTCCTACTACCGCAATAAAACGGAAATAGTGATTTAGAAAAAGAAAATACAGGATTAAAATCAGAATGCCGAATAACAAAACGGAATACCGAATGAAAGAAAACGAAATCCGAATTAAACAGAGTACTGATTTAAACCTAATCACGAATGAAAATCAGAAATCCGAATGAAAACAAAATGTCGGATTACTCAGAATACACTGAATCAGAGTTCGAAATAAACAGCATACCGGATGAAAACAGAAATCGGAAGTGAAAGTCCAAATACGGAATTGAAACGAAATGACGATTTAAACAGAATACCGAAAAAGAAAAAAAAAAATTTAACTTTGAATCTCGATAGGAATACAGAGCTGATTTGGAAGAACGAAGAACAATCTATACCTAAATCAGACTTACCTGGTGCGCAGATCCATCGTTTGGTCTGCTCCGATACCAAAACTGTTGCATACTCGTGAAGACTTCAACGAGTATGGGGCAGAACCAAAGATCAACCAATATAGGATGAGCATGTATGCAGCGGAAGTCTGACAATGGACTGACTCACATAGACCGACTCACACAGATATCAACACAGGATGAGCATGTATGCAACTGAAGTCTGATAACTCACATAGACTGACTCACACAAATATCACTCCACACACAAACAATCGTGAGATGGTGGGGTCTGGGCGAAGCATAGACGATCCCCTGATCCCGTACACACATACACAGATGAGAGGTGGGAGGAGAGACGAAGGAGGTGGGAGATGTAGGTAGCACCAAATGTCACCGAGATAGAAAACCAGCAGGTCACCGATATAGTAATCCAAAATGTCATCGAACAAGATGAAATGTCGCGGACAATAAGTCACGAATGTCGGAGATGCAGAGTCCTAATGTAACCGGTGTCCAATCTGTGATACAGCCGAGTATCATCCCCAACAATCTCCAAGTCTCGAACCCGGTAAGTACCACAGCCTCTTACCACCGAAGTCCAACACTGATCTCTGTCCAACTAGTATCAAGTATCCAGTCTGAAGAAAAAGAAGATGAAGTCTGAAGAAGGAGAAGAGGAAGAAGAAGAAGAAGGAAGAGATGGCAGAGGAGGAGATGAGGAGGGGAGAGCCGGTAGCCGTGGAGGGAGGAGAAGACCTCCTCGCCTCCGGGTACCTGCTTCGCTGTAGTCCGACTGCAGGTCGCGGCTATGGCCGCCGTACTGCTGAGGTCTGCTGCCTCGCTCCTGTCTCACCGCTGCTGCTGTGCTAACTCGCGCTGCTGCCGCTGATGCTGCGTCGCTCCTGCTCTAAGAATAGCGCCAGCGCTAACGATGCTCTGCTGAACCGAACGACTGGGGCTTCAGCAGCATCCCAGTGCTCGATGCCTCACAATGAGGCTGGTACCGGTATAAGTACCGGTGGCCAAGAGGCCAGCCTCAATGCTGCGAGGTCTCGCCGTGATCGTAACCGTCAAGATCGACAGTTCAGATCAGACCGGCGGGCGGCAGCCTCAAAAGCGCCGCCAGGCCCAAACGGTAATGTCGTTTGGGCCTGCCCGTTGGGTCTGGTCCAAAACTCAGGCCTTTACCGCCTGCTGTACCCCAAGTCCGGGCCTTTAGGCCCTGCTGTGTCCCTCTGGCCCTAAGTCGGGTCTGGTAGGACCCGTGTGGCGTCGAAGATGTAATAACAACTCTCTCTCTCTCTCTCTCTCTCTCTCTCTCTCTCTCTCTCTCTCTCTCTCTGTTTGTTTGAATCTCCCCTCAACCCGCTCGCTTTTCTTTGCTTTTCATTACTTCTCTTCGCTTTTTTTTCTTTTTTGTTTTTGATTCACTTTTTTTTTTTTTTTTAAATTTGTTTTCGCGGTCCGTGGTAGCTACTGGGCGTTTCATGGACTACCGTGCCGTGTTTTCTTTTCCCTTTTTTTCTTTTTTCTTTTTTCTTTTTTCTTTTTGAACAAGTGCTCGAGTCTATTCGTGGGGAGCAGCACGTGCTGGGAACCAGGCCCAGCGTACCATATTGAATTATACAGATCATTGCGAACATTTGAGGCTGTTTGAGGTCCTTTGAGATACCGGGGCCATTACCTAGCTTCGGCGGAGAACAATCTGTGAACATGATGGGATTCAGAAACATGGGGAGGATCCTGAGTATCTAATGACCTATTAGGGAATTACTCATGCAATAACCAGCTACAGAGGTCCTACAAATTCTCACTATCCTCAGGTTCCCTGACAAACCCTTCTAAGACTTCTCAACACCGTCTTACTCCCTGCTGAGCTCTTCCAGGCCTCATGCCCCCACCCTGCTGGGTTACAGGGCAACACAACTCGCCCCAGCTCCGACCAGCGTCATCCCAGCAGCAACCCTTGGTCGTCCCTTGGTATGCCCACCCCATAGCATCCCCAGATATCTCTACCAGGCCTCACGCTCCTGCATTAGCAGGTTACAGGGCAACACCCCGCACCGGCCAGCGCCATTCTGGCATCGAACGACGACAGATCACTGAGTATAACAACATTGAAACCGCCTAAGATGGATTGCTAAGAAACCCTGAAGTCCTAAGACATTCATAAGAACAACGGACCTTTTCTTTTTTCCATTTCAGACTTTACCAAGTTGATAGAATATGTGTGTCAAAAAGCCTCCCCATCACAAATCAGATAGGTGAAACCTATTCAATCCACCTACGACCCCCACCAGTATGGCTAATTTCAGCGCGAAACGAAGCTCTTCCACGCCTCATGCTCCCATCAGGTTAGGTTACAGAGTTGTACCACCTTGCTCCCGCACCGGCCAGCATTGCTCCAGTTACGACCCCCGATGACCACTGGGACTGCCCTCGCACACAGCCCCCCAGAGCTCTCTACCAGGCCTCACGCCCCCACTAAGCTAGGTCACAGAGTTGCGCCACCTGGCTCCGGATCCGGCCAGCGTTGCTCCAACATCGGTCTTCGAGGGCCACCGACTTTTCAACCACCCCTCGCAAGATCACAAATGGCTTGCCAGTTGACACCTATTCCTACAACCTCCTCGAGAGGCAACCAAATGGAAAGCTATAGTAAACTGGATGATAGATTTCTTAGAGAGAGATCGCCCCTCCCTCCCCCTCCCCCTTCCCCCTCACCCCTACATTGCCTCCACCGAGGAGAGTCACCCACTCTCCCTCGGCCCCAATGTAGGACCAATCCTCTCCCCCCCTTTCCCCAGGAGCACGCAGTTCCCACCTAAAGCATGCCCCCCCGCCCCTTGCCCATTTCCACCTCCCCAGGGACTGATGTTGACCCACACACGGTCCCTGCCCCAGAATAAGGCAACCCCCTACTCCGCCCCTACCCTCTTTGAGACATTCACCCCCCACCTTGCGGTGCCCCTGTGGATTTTCCAGGATTGCCACCTGTCAAAATATAATATAACTCCTTTAAACTAAGGAAATTTCGGCAGCGCTTCCAGTATGAAAAATGTCTGTTCATAATTTATATAAGCTGGAATATTAAAACAGAAATAGTCTTTGACTTGTCAAAGTCAAATTTTGTCTAACTCCCTGAATTAGCAAAAATTTGGACAACACTCCTTTTAGAAAAGGCGACTTTTCAGATTTTTATTAAGTCGTGTATAAAATTTAGACAAGTTGAACTTTGAAAAGCCAAAATTTGACTAACTCCTTGGATTTGCAGAAATTTTGGCAGCGCTTCCCATAGAGAAAGTAGCCTACCAAAATTTATACAAAGCCAAGTATAACAAATGATCCCAGAAAATGTGGAAATTGACCTAAGTAAAATAAAATTAGCTCAAAAAATGCAGAAATTGAACTAACTCCTATCGCTCTAGCACGTGGCGAGCCTCTAAAGCAACTTCCTGTCAAACTGAAACTCAGACTAAGTATTAATCTTGCTTAGTCACATGCAAGGCCAAACCACAAGGAGTAAGTTCTCTCACCATCCCCAAGTCAAAAATCCTTATAGATAGTTCATACATCTTTCAGATGATTTAACCCTTGTACCCAACTACACATGGCGTAGTGCTAGACCATTCAACTTAGAAATAATGTTTAGCATGCCTTTAAGATATACATGAACATGTTGCACAACTACTTTTCTCTTCTTTGGGCATATGGCTAGACCATTCAGCTTAGAAACAATGTCTAGTCGCCCTGAAGTGTTTAATATTCAAAGTTTAATAATTTTCTGTCTCGTGTTCTCAAAATAAAAATTAAATATGGGCAGGGATTGAACCATTCAGCTTGGAAACAATGTTCAGCTTGCCCAGACTACTTCCAATTATACTCGGTAGTTTTCCTTCTCTTCTTAGTGATAT